CTTAAAAATATGTTTGGTGATTTTTTTATATTTCTTAGCTACTTTGAACCGTCTATCGATATTTAATGTAACCAATCTCTACTAGGCTATGCGCCGACATACACTACACTGTCGAAAAAGGCGCAGAATAACGGACCATTTTTAGAAATCCGTTGTCCTTATGAGTTATAGGAAGGGAATTTTATACGTTGCACTATCGTAGACTCTTAGAAGATTTATTAACTTCATAAACCCTCGAAAACCGCTTTTCTCTCCTATGGTTCTTCTAAACAGTGCATTAACCCATCTTATAAGGGTATATCAATGCTTACCTATCCTGAAACATTTATGCAAGTGCAACGTATAAGAATCCCTTACGAAGTATATGAAAGACAAGATTTAACAGAGGGCACATTACTTTCACATACCTGAAAAGGCTCATGTCGAAACTATCAATCCTTTTTGGGCGGGCGCATAGTTCCATGCTCTACTAGCAGCATATATTATCGTGTATCGTCATTCAAAAACTTTTCTGTTTACCTAATGAAACCGTTCCATTCGGAGCGTTGTATGAAAAGACTTCTGCAACAATATGTATGGTGGCTACTATTCAATGGTGCTTTTTAACAAGCATCTATCATTAACTTATTGCTGACATACGTTCATACACTACTGTGTTCTCTTTCCTGCGAAAAGCCACTATTCATTGATCTTCGCCTACCGCGTTCACCATTACTATCAGTCTCTTCTTCTTCCTTCTCTTGACCACACATGCTCGAGCGAGTACAGAACAGAGCTTATCATTTCAGAAGCAAACCAAATCACTCAATAAGCACACAACAGGCAAACCTCAAATAAATTTCCTTCTTACAACTTCCTCACTATACTCTAGAATACTTCCACACTTTAAATTCGACTTCGCTGATACCACTTAAAACTCCTATAAGGAGCACTGTTACTTTTTAACTGGCTCCCTATAAAAAACCGAGACCCTTCCATCTCAACACAATCACATAACTGATTACCTACTCACTGACCAAAAACTATCCCTGAGTTGCTTCATACCAAAAAGGAAGCTTTAAGAATTATTTCTTAAATTTCTGAACAATAGACACCGATTCCATCGTCCTTATCATTTAATCACCCATCGCTTTTCACAGACCCCTCACCCGCACCCTCTAGCCACCGTATACAGATCGGATGTGAGTTATGCCGTAAACTCAATTAGTGCACAGATGTGTAAAGGGAAAGAGAACTTACACGTAGTGCATGTCGTTCCACTCCATTGGCCCACACAAGCACAGGCACCAGTCGTCGGATTGCAGCTTCCACCATTTTGACAACCACCTACATAGATCGCATGTGAGTGTTCGCAATAAACCACCTGAGTCCATAAATGTGTCAAAGAAGAGAGAACTTACACGTAGTGCATGTCGTTCCACTCCATTGGCCCACACAGGCACAGGCACCAGTCGTCGGATCGCATGATCCGCCATTTTGACAGCCACCTACGTAGATCGCATGTGAGTGTTCGCAGTAAACCGCCTCAGTCGATAAATGTGTCAAAGGAGAGAGAACTTACACGTAGTGCATGTTGTTCCACCCCATTGGCCCACACAGACACAGGCTCCAGTGGTCGGATCGCATGATCCGCCATTTTGACAACCACCTACATGAATCAGATGTGAGTGTTCGCAATAAAGGACCTCAGACGATAAATGTGTCAAAGGAGAGAGAACTTACACGTAGTGCATGTTGTTCCACCCCATTGGCCCACACAGGCACAGGCACCAGTCGTCGGATCGCATGATCCGTCATTTTGACACCCACCTACATACATCGGATATCAGTGTATGCCATAAACTTGGTTGGTGCATAAATGGGTTAAGGGAAAGAGAACTCACATGTAGCGCATGCCACTCCACGCGATTGGCCTACACAAATACAGGCAGCAGTCGTCGGATCACATATTCCACCGTTGATGCATGGCGGGGAACAAGTTACTAGGAGAAAATATTGTATATTGTGGAAATTGGATGTATATCTCGAAAGATAAACGGTCGAGGATGATAGAGTGGTGGAGACATGCGGGAAACCCGAGACCGATCAAATCAAAGCCGTAGATTTGACTTGATTTGATTGGAGGGGAGTTCAATTTGTATGTGTTGGAGTAGACTCGGATTCGGACTTTGCTGGGAGTTGCTGTGAATTACGAGTGGTTTATGAAATCTTAACACTATTCATTCTTTTCAAAGGTTGAATATGTTGATATTTCGGGATCATTAAGAATGAATGAAATGCTGATGAAGATTTCTTTCTACTCGACTATTTTCCGTGCAAAAAGCCGGTAGGCTTTGTTAAAGGGTCCAAGTTCGATGGATCGTGATTTGGTTCTAGTTGGAGTTAAAAGAAAGTTCAAGAAGACTGAAATTCAGGTCTTATTGAACACGCATGTATTTCAGCGAAATCTGATGAAATCTGAATCCAGTGGTTTCTATTAAGCTCTTAAGGGCGGGGTTATTTTTAAAGGAGCAAAGAAGACTTTAGACGCTCTGGTGTATGCAAGAGGCAGTGTGTGCGAAGATAAATAGAAAATAGACGATCATGATATCAGTGGATCATGGCATAACGAAACAATAGAAGTGATGAATATAACTAAAAAAAGTAAAAAGAGGTCACAATACCAATGATAGTATATTACATTGGCGATATATATAAAGCGGCACAGGTCATAAAAATATCGTAAGAGGTATACTCAAATAAATTATGAGTTGACTTCAACCTGGACGTATATATACGTCACCCGTCCCTAAGAGGTTAAATCCAAGGTATGAAAAGCGAGACTTCATCTTATTCAGATAGTATTTGGAGTAGAGTGAAGTATTAGCGAAGTAAGACCGAAGTATTCACGTTATACTTACTTCACTCTACTTCACTCGTACTGCACTTGTGCTTCACTAATACTTCACTATACTTCATTGTACTTCGCTGTACTTCAGCGATGCTTCAATCGTACTTCACTAATACTTCCGCAATGAAACTACCGGTGAAGTATGAAGTCCCGCTTTCCCCTCTTGATTAAATCTCACTCTAGAATCGGATTAGGTGCACTCGTGAAGTAATCTGTTCTGTGTTTTTTTGTGTGAATCGGAAAGCATATTTTGAGGCAGAAGAAGATCATCAGAAAATATCTGATAGAGGAGTCTGTTAGAAGTTAGTTGCTTTGGTGGTGCCTTTAATCGTGATAGTTCTAAGCAGACGTGCGGGTCCAGCTATATTTCAGTTATAAAATGAAGGAAGTT